TGTGACACTCACTAATCAGCTAATGACAGGTTGCTGGTTCCATTCCCAGCTCTGTCCATCATTATGTCCTAGGACAAGAGGTTTCACTTTCCTTGCTGTTAGCATCAGTCTGCCTCAAGGCAGCTGTGGCTTCAGTTATAATGACCTGCCTTTTGCATTTTTACTTTTACAAGACCATTTTGGTGACATTTTGGCTTTTTAGTTTCAGGACTACCACAGCTTCGTGATGCACGGCTGCACGGTGGACAACCCCATTCTGGAGCGCTTCATCACGCTCTTTAATAGTGTCTCCCAGTGGATCCAGCTTATGGTACTCAGCAAGCCCACCGCCCCGCAGAGAGCAGCTGTCGTTTCCCATTTCATCAGAGTGGCACAGGTTAGTCTTCTTGATCTGTCAACATTAGCTTTAAGATTTGCCTCCAGTTGCATGGACAAACAGGCTGGTGGAGGGTTTGATGGAGGGTCTCTGGCCTAGAGCCAGAGAAAAAGAAAACACTATTTTCACAGCAGAGCTGAGATGAGCTGCATGCAGACAAACATTAATAGGCTAATAATTTCCCATCGGATTGCAGCAGTTGTGAGAAAAGGGAGCAAATAAATTTGATAAATCTTTGCAAGCATTTGCATTCAAAGATCCCCTCTGAGAGCTCTTTATGTTAAGGCTACAACAGGGAAAAAGCCTTGCAAATAATTGCCTTGTGTGTGGTGATGCATATTTACTTAGATAAAATCACATTCATAAAAGAGGATTAAAATGTATTTGATCCCAAAAGTCTAATTAAATTTTGCATCGCAAATTGCACACTGTCCATGTAGGTATGAATTTTCCAGCTCAGTAGACTTCTGCTGTAATCTATCTACAGTTAATCTGCATAGTAACACAATGCTGTTTATCTGACAAAACAAATAAATGAAATATTGATGAACATAATAGGATGAGTTCTTAAAAGTGTTAATACTGACTGAACAATTATTTTCCCTTTAGTTTAAAATTACTGACATGTTTTTTTTATGTTGAGAGATTAAGAGAAGACAGAAATACATCCTCTCACAGCAGGGCCCAGTTTAATTCAGTCTTGCATTTACTTTAAACCTACCCCTGCAGAGTTACTCAACACCAGGGAGTTTCCCAGCATGCTGTCCTCTGTAGGAGCCAAAATGCATTTGCATATTAGGGTTTGGCAAAATCCAATCTGTAATGTTTTAAAGGCTTCTACAGTATAAATGACAAAACAGCAGACCATCTGACTAGAAAGGATTGTGATGTTCTACTGTATGTTGCTGCTTGTACAGCACCATGCTAAAAGAACTTGCTGCCCATAACATGACGTCGGCAAAGAGTGACATGCAGCACAGTATCAGGCCACTTCTAGAGGTTCAGCTCTTCTTTAGGAAGGCTAAACAAAGTCGTACACCTCCCAAAAAATAGTCGCTGTCACTGTGCAAATTAGATTCTTTTTTTTTTGAGTTTTTACCGCACTATGCCTCTTTTTTTGACAGAAGGCTGAAATGAAAGGGGGTATAAGAGAAGGGGAGACACATGCGGCAAATGACCACAAGTTGGGTTCAAATTGGATTCTAAATGTAGTTGCAAGGCGCAGTAAACAACTAAACAACTTGCAAACGTGCTTCAAAAACAGCAAGCATGCAAGCATGAAAAACAAATGTATCTGAAAAATATAGCAAACAACAATTGCTAACCCTAACCCTATCACTTAAAGAGAAGCAAAAACCTAAAAACAGCAACACAAATGCAAAAAACAAATGCTGTTACCACAAACAAAATTCTGCAGCCACAAACAAAACGATGCAAGCAAAAACAAAACACTGCAATCACAAAACAAAAATTATGCAAATTATAAAAACAGCAGCAAACTCACTCTGCAAAAAGGAAGTCCTCCAGACCACTAGATGGAGTTGAACAAAGAAAAACCCACATTAGTATTATTTGTTGTGAGTGTTACGTATACTATACATATATTACTATGCATAACTGTGATATTATTCTCTAATACTGTAAGACTATGTGCTTTGAAATGACACAAAAGATCAGGGACATCTCAGTTGCTTCTTCAAACTTTGTCTTTTTAAAATCCTGCTTTAAACATAGACTTGCTGTTCATATGGAGGCACTGGTCCAATTTATGTTGAACTTCCTATTAGCGGTTTGGAACACTTCCCAGTTGTAGAGCGAGTTTACTGCTGTTTTTACTATTTACATCATTTTCTTTTTGTGGTTACAGCATTTTGTTTGTGGTTGCAGCATTTTTGTTTGTATTTATTTTATTGATTATGGGTTTTTGATTCTATATTTAGTGAATTCAGAATTTTTCTTTGCAGGGCTTTGTTGTTGCATTTAGTTTTTTTGTGTTTATGTGTTTTTGGAGTTTACATCATATGTGTCTTTGCAGCTAATTTTGCCATTGGCTTTGTGTTTACACCTGTTTGCAGCTTTCCTTTTTTCATTTGCCATGTTTCTCTGTTGTATTTGTTTCTTGTGCTTGCATTTTGTATGCATATACATTTTCACAGTTCTTTCGTTAGTTATTGTGTTTTTGCACCAGTTGGCTGCCATATAGAAGAGCCGCTTTTTTCAGACTTTGAATTATTACTCTCTGCTTCGCATTACTGCTTATGGAGAAAGTTTGAATGTTGTTTACTGTGTAGATAGTTCAACCAGATCATACAGTCAAATTGATTCAAAGTTTTCTATCTAAGGAAAACGAGTAGATGGCATCGACTCATTGATTCGAAAGCAATCTCTCACACCAAGCATGCTTTTAGTGACAGTGGAGAAGAAAAAACAGGAAGAAACCTCCAGCAGAACCAGGCTCAGTGTGAGCAGCCATCTGCCGAGGCCGACTGGGGTTCAAGGAGACAGAAGCAAACATACAGAAAGAAGCAGAGATACAAAAGACAACTGTAAAAGGTGCCCAGTTCCAGGAAACACATTGCCAGCAAGATGGCTGCTGCTCAGAGAAGAGAATTACTTCATAAAAGATTACTTAGAATCATTTTGAATATACTTTTGGGGCATATTTCTACTATAGAATAGAATTACGAAAGAGTAAAAAGTTCAAAAAAGTCGTTTTTCCATGATATTGGCAACTAAGAACACTGTGTAACTTTTAGCCACTATGGGGGCGTTAGACCTTTAGCTTCCAGGTTTAGTGACCCTGAACAGCACTGGAAACTGCAATGTAGCAAAATGAAACAATCAATCTTTCAAAATAACTGCTTGTCCATACAAAACCACAGGGGTGGCAAATTCGAAAATTTGGAGATGTCACAATGACACTTTCCATTTCTTATTTATTGTCTAAGTCTACGTTCACACAGCAGCCTGAAGTGACCCAAATCCAAATTTTATGCGACCTGTATCTGATCTTTTCATTACAGTCTGAACAACTCAGATCCGATTTTTTCCAATGGGACCCAGGCCACTTGGCTATGTCCTCCAGAATCTGATACAAATCCAATCTTTTCAAATGCAACCTGTCTCTGAACGGCGAGGTCGCATTCATCCGACCTGTACGCCTTTAATACCCCACATAGGTCACTAATATGCGTCTTGCTATGCAGAGGCGGAAAGAAAAACAACAACCATGGCGGACGATGATGCAGAGAGTAGTATTTATGTTTAACTATATTGAAAAGATTGTGTTTTTAAGGTGGGTAAAGTTCACTAAATGCACTCTTGCACTACTATCCATGTTTACTTGTGTAAACACAGAGCACGCTAGCTTGTGACGTCATTACGTCAGGTACTGCGCATATGGGACACTTAAGCTGTATGAATGCCGTTCACACAGGAGATCACAATATATAGATACTAGTCGCATTTATTTGGAAATGTGAATGGCAATGGCAAGAAATCTGATTTCACAAAAAAATTGAGCCCTGCGATGGACTGGCGACCTGTCCCCCCGCCTCTCGCCCATTGACAGCTGGAAGATAAGCACCAGCACCCCTCGCGACCCCACCCGGGACAAGCGTTTCAGATAATGGATGGATGGAAGTTGCATGAAGGCCTGCAGTATGAACGTAGCCTAAAATTCCTAGACTTATCGGGTCAAAAATTGTAAATTATGGTAAAAGATTTCCTCTCCCTAATCTAAAAATAATATCTCTATCATTCCCACTAAAACAAATGAAAGCCTCATATATAACAGCCTGATACAATTCTCTGACCATATGTCTGGAGACTGTCATCCTCTCACTGAAGAAATATCGCTCTAAGTGGCATCCTGGGTTTCGCTGTAATTGCTTTCATTTCAGCTTGATGTTATCGTTTGCTGTTGTGTGCCAGATGGGCTGTGAGCTTTTCCTCTATGTGACAATCCTCTCATCTCCACTGTGAAGATGAGGCTTCAGTCAAGCAGAGCAAGTGCAGATGTATTTTCATCTTAATAGGCTGCAGTGCTCTGAGATTGCATCCTCATTACTTACCAACAGTCGCCTTTTGGATCAGTTTCCATCATGTTAAAAAGTCTCACTCCACTCAGGTTTTTTATCACTTTTGTATCTACAGATCAGTCAGTCAGTCAGTGATTTATTCTGTTGGCTCTCTGCAGGGTTTCCTACGTCTCCCTGTCGGAATACGTCGCTGCTGTAACACCTAGGGCTCTTGTCAAGGGAGCCCAGCAGAGCTCTCCTTAGTGTTTCACTCACATTGATTATGATATGATTCCACTGTCATGTTCCAGTGATTTATGAAGCTGTGCCTCTGTAGGGGAGAGGACAAATGCTAGTATTGACCAGCACTATTAGGATGAAACAGCTACAGTAGGCCTCTATGATAGAAACTCTGTTCTGCTCATCAAATGTGACATTTCTTCATATTTGACCTTTTTAGCAGCAAACGTTTTTAGCTTCTCAATCCCCACATTTTCTCAGATATAGATTTTCTAATAATCAGATGCTAAAGATCTGTTTGACACATTTTTCCTCTCTGGATTAGTTAAGTAAACTTTGATCTCCTCTTTCCTGGGGGTCCTTATTAAAACAGCATGGCAGGTTGAGATATGTCAGTATCCTGTAATTTGCCTTACATTGAGGTTGAAATAATTCATTTCTGATAGAAATTATCACCAACTAATTTGGTGATCAAATCATTACCTAGTATAAAGGTACATAAACTCATGCATTTTCATAAAACATGCAATTTACTGAGAGATATAACCTAATTAAGCAGTAATTAAAACTACTCTACAACTCTACAAATGCAAACTATAAATCTTTTTAAACTTAAAACTTAAAAAAAAAAATTCTAATAAGATATTATTTCTTTTATATTCAATTAAGTTTAAAATTACTTTATTGATCCCATAGAGAAATTAAATTTTGCTGTAACTAATAGGTCATTTTTTGTATCCA